TGAGGGAGCATGCAGTTTTCTTCCTCTCGTTCTCTCATCCTCCTCTGTCTTTCCAACGCCCTAGCCTTACGCGACCTGATGCATTCTCATCATATACATGGCGAGTAGGAGGCTGTACTGATGATTCCCACTGTCCTTCGCATGCTGCGTTCGGTCTGTGTTTGTAGCTAAGGGATAAAACGTACATTGCATCCTAAAATTTCGTCTTGCATATTATCCTTTGACTGATCCCTCATCTCGTGCTGTGTTATCTCTTTCCCTGACTGTATTAACCTCTTAAGTAGTGTGCACTTTTTGGGGCGCTTTTTTTGGCCGGCTTTTCGCGAATTTCCACGAGAAACGGGTATTAATTGAAGATATGAAAACAGAATTACAACCATCTTATGAATATATTCCCCGGCGGTACATGGAATGTTACAATTTTATCCTGAATTGCGCACATTCTGTGAAGAATTTGAGTGAAATTTACTTTAGGAAGAGCTTGACAAACAGTTGCTGGATGTTGGGCCATCGCCAGCGGCCATATCAGCATTACCTGAAGCACCAACAGCTGAACTTCCAGCAGCAGCAGGCAAAAGAGTATCGGCGAAGAAGAAGCAAGAAGACGAGGATCTGGCTGAGCTGGAAGCATGGGCAAATGCTTAAAATCGGTGGAATGCCCGTATGCCTCGTCTTCGTCATCATCATAAGCGTTAATCTTACGTGCTCTACGTCGGTGGTTGCTGTTGCTGCGTCAGTGTCAAACGTCATTCAGTTTCACAGACATTTTGTAAAATTTCTTTCAATTTTCCCTGAAATAATATGTCGTCGAATGCAGAATCGGCAGGATTTTCCAATTTTTGAAGAGGAAATAATCGTGTAGCTTTTTTTTTTGTCTTTTAGGCCAGGACAAAGAAAAACGCCTGAAAATTATCTGCGTTTGGCGTGTGGTTTCTTCTCACTTACGTAAAGTTTCCACGGGCATTATCCAGGGTGATCGTTTTATAGCTTACGTGGATTTCTTGCATAATTACTCTCCTGTCTTCCCCTCCTCCCCCCCCCCCCCCCCCCCCCCCCCCCCCCCCCCCCCCCCCCCCCCCCCCCCCC